GAGAGACTGCAACTGGCCGACCAAGCGGCGTGAGTGTGGTGCGGTCTCGAAAGAAGGAGCGGGAAGCCCCCGAGTCAAGGGTGAAGGTATGAGAGGCCGGAGCCGACGCGGTACCTTAGAGAGCAGACTCACCCGCACCTGAGGAAGCAGACTCACTAGCACCTAGAGCAGCAGCCGCACCTGTACCTGGAGCAGGAGACACACTAGCACCCAGAGCAGCAGCCGTACCAGCAGCTAGAGTAGCAGGATCTATACCCGGGTCAGGCGGTACGCACAGGTGACCGGCACGGTCAGCACTAGTAGGCAATGCATACATGGCAGTGAGAATAGCATCATAGTCAATAGCAAATATATCTACCCTCTGCCTAAGCAACTCCACCCAGTCGGGGAGCTCAGCCTCGTCGCCAAACACGGTACGCCAGGCGTCGCTCAGACGGGCAAAGCAGCGGGACGGTGTGTGACTAGGCGTCCCACAAGGCTGACCAGTCCGAGCACCAGTGCGAATCACGTAAGAGCAGCGAACAGAACTAAGAGACCCTCTACTCTGAGCGTACTACTCATGAAGCTGCTGGGGCGTGAGAGACGCGCGTGGGCGTCGTTGGAGCTGCATCTGGCCGCCGCTAGTAGAAGCAGGAGCAGGAGTAGCAGCAGTAAGGTAGGCAGCCAAGCAAGCAGAAGGCAGCGCGCGAGTAAGGCAGGGGCTCACCAGTGGTGGGAAGAGGAGGCTCGACGACTTGGCGACTCGGCGACTTGGCGGCACGGCGGCACTGCAGCAACTGCGGCTCGGCGGCTCGGGCGACTCGGGCGGCTCGGCTGCTCGGGCGACTCGGGCGGCTCGGCGCGGCGGTACGGGTGCTCGGTAGTAACTGCAGCTCGGCGACCCGGCGGCTCGGGCGGCAGATAGGGCAGCTCTGACGGTCCAGCTGCTGGGCAGCTCGGTGGCAGGGCGGCTCGGCAGCAGGGCGGCTCGGCGGCAGGGCGGCTCGGCGGCAGGGCGGCTCGGCTTCCGGGTGGCTCGGTGGCAGGGCGGCTTGGCTTCCGGGCGGCTCGGCGGCAGGGCGGCTCGGCTTCCGGGCGGCTCGGCGGCAGGGCGGCTCGGCTTCCTAGCGGCTCGGCGGCAGGGCGGCTCTCGTGCAGGGCGGCGCGGCGGCGCTTGTTCAGGGCGGCGCGGCTGTCGTAGGTAGGGCGGCGGGTGAGTCGCAGGTAGGGCTGCAGGTGCGCCGCATGTAGGGCGGCGGGTGAGGCCGCAGGTAGGGCGGCGGGTGGGGCTGTAGGTAGAGCGGCGGGTGGGCCGCAGGTATGGCGGTGGGTGAGCCGCAGTTAGGGCGGCGGGTGCGCCGCAGGTAGGTCGGCGAGTGGCCGCAGGTAGGGCGGCGGGTGCGCCACAGGTAGGTCGGCGGGTGGCCGCAGGTAGGGCGGCGGGTAGGGCCGCAGGTAGGTCGGCGGAGGGCCGTAGGTAAGGGCGGCAACGGGCCGTAGGTAAGGGCGGCGACGGGCTGTAGGTAGGGCGGCGATGGGCCGTAGGTAAGGGCGGCGAAGAGCTGGTGCAAGGGCGGCGCGAAGCCGCGGGTAAGGGCGGCGACGGGCCGGGGCTGCGCGAAGCCGCAGGTAAGGGCGGCGACGGGCCGGGGCGGCTTGAAGCCGCAGGTAGAGGCGGCGCGAAGCCGCGGGAAGGGCGGCGACAGGCTTGTAAAAGGGCAGCGCGTCGCAGCCGCTAGGGCGGCTCGACGCGACCGTAAGGGCGGCGCGACAGGCCGCTAGGGGCGACTCGACGCGCTTCGGTGGGCCCAAGGAACAGTCCCTAGGAGGGGACCTGCTCTGATTCCATGTGAAAATGAGAACGAGAATGGATCAACTATTAAATGAGTGAGTACAAGTACTAACCCTAATTGGGTTGTACCCCCTATGGGATACCCCACTATAGCCTACACAAATGTATAAGCTATATAGCATTCTGAAAGCACAATCACCCAATGAGGGCCGGTTGGGTCGGACGAGCGGCGTGACCTGTCAGTAGAAGGTCCGTATGCTACTGACTCCTAGCGTTTCCCTGCTGCTTGGTCTGTTTTTGCTGCTCAACTTCCCCCTTTCCCTTAGCATTTTCCGGGCATTCGCTCTTGCGGTGTCTCGGCCGATTTCACGCAAAGCAGCGCCCTTTGAACGGTGCGGCAGCGGCATTTGTGGCGACGGCACGTATCGTAGCGCCCTCGTTCGTCCCACGAGGCCGATGTCCCCAATTGCTGCTTCCGTATGACACCGGTCTCGGCCGGTGGAAGAAATCGAGTTTCTCGGCCATGGCGAGAATCTCCTGAAAATCGGTGACGCCGCGAAGCTGGATTTCCTGAGCGATGTCCTGCTTCAGGCCGCCGATGTAGCGGTCGATGCGCTCTCTCTCATGCATGTATCCCACCTGCTCGCATAGCGCCAGAAACCCGCTCATGTAGTCTTGGACGGAACCGAGTTGGCGCCAAGTGCGGAGCCTCTGTCGCGTTGCGATCGAAGCCGCAATTTGCTCGAAACGAGCGCGCAGACCTGCGCACCACACATCCCACGTGCGATACTGGGGCACCTCCACGAAATACGACGGCGCCCAGGGTCTAGTTTGTCCTTCCCGTGTCGGTAGAGTCGCGTAGTCCACCGGCTTCGTGACGATGACACGCCACCAGTCCATGGCGGGTCCTCGCAGCAACGACACGGCGTAGCGAATCTTCGCCGTATCCTCCGAGACGTATTTCACGTCGAAGAAAACGTTCAACGTGAAAAGCCACGCCTGAACGGTAAGACCACCCCGCTGACTTGGGTCAAAGCATGGCGGACGCTGCGGCATCGGCGACGGTAGAGCTGATTCACCGGCCGGCACCGAAATAGTGACTCGAGGCTGAATCCTGGTCGCATTCGTCGCGTCGGGGTGTGTCGTGCCGTGGTCGTCGTCTCTGTCATGGCGGACAACGCCATCACTTGCGGCGCTCGCGGGTTGCCCCACACTTCCGTGTTGCGATGTCTGTGGTGCGAGTTGAATCGGGGTGCCAGGTGCTTGGGATTGTGCTCGTGCGAGGTCATTTTGCAGGGAGGTGCGTTACGCCGTTAATGCCGCGATTTCTTCAGAGTTTTCGTGCAGTTGTCGCAAGAACTCATCCAGGCGGTCCTGCATGAGGTTAGTGACGTCAATATGTCTGCCATTCTGAAGGGCGTCGCCTCGTCTTAGTCTAGGCGCAGTCGTGGCTGCACGCGTTTACGAGAGAACGCGAGGACACCGGCTCCTAGGTGCTAAGGTGTGTGAGTCCCTTCGAGTGAAAAAATCAAAAGTTGGCTTCCTTGGGTGCGGAGATGCGCGGTCCGAAAAGAAAGAGGCTCTAATAACCAACTGTTACGGGTGCAATAAATCGAAGTAGCGAGAATTGAAATAAGGTGTCAAACGAGTACAAAATGTGAGCGAAGGCATGAGCGAACATTTATACGCGAAACATGCAAACGGTAACGCGGTGCGTGCGAGCTAGCTAGTGCTATGCTGGAAGCGAGGTTTAGGCCAGCAGTGCGAGGTTTGGTGAAACAGTGCACGCGAAGTCGGCGAAGCCCTGTTAGCAGTAACGGGCGAACAACGGCTGCTGCTGTACGCGATGTTGCCGGGCATGCTAAGGAATATCGAGAAAATTCCTTACATATATATATCCCTTCCACTTTTAGTTGGAAAGGGGCAAAAAATTCTGGTGTACCTATCATTCCTGGAGAACCCATCTGATCTGGTGTCATACATGACGTGTCATGTTAACGCTGCCACGACGGTCGTGGATCTTGGCAGCATCGTGGCGGAAGTCAACCATGCCACATCGTCAGACCCTCCCGATTTTCTGTTTACTTTGGTGAATGACTGGGCATGCCAGCGCAGCGCCAGCATTTTCTAGGCTTCGATTCAGCGTATGTAAACGCGGCGATGGTTCTTTCCTTGAAAGACGCGAGGGCGTATGCAGAACCGGCCATGGTTCTGTGATTTCCAGAGATTTCGAACAGTTAACACTTAGCACACTCAGAGCACCTCGTTGCAGACTGGTTACAGGCACGCCACCTGAGTTTGGCTGTTAACGTACGCGATGAACAAAGTGACGGAATGAAACCAAATGAAACCAATTGTTGAGATCAGACTGTAACTCCGCTTGCTTTTCCTGCTCTTCAGAGCAGCCATCGCATCGACGTCACCTTCACTTCAGAACTTACAGATCAGTTTCTTGAGCTTGGAGTGAGCAGCCTTCACTATCTGCCTTACTGCATCTGCTTGTCGTTCGCAGTTCCGTTGCGTTTTCGAGTTAATCTTCTCCTCCCACAGCGCAATGGCGACCGTCGCTGCACCGTCCACCAGCCTTCGCTGCTCCGTACTGCCCTCGCAGGGCAAGGCCGTCGCTGGCCGGCAGCTCGCAGTTGTCTCTGCCAGGCCCGCAGCAGCATTTTCAAGGAAAGCGGCACTTGTCGCGAGTAAGTGGGCAATGTTACACAGTTGTTTTCGTGAGTTACCATCCGCGCGAGTGAGTAGACATTTCTGCGAGTACATTTACTTTCTGGTCAGGTTTAAGTTTCCGCAAGTGAGCAAGCACATTCACCAAGTAGACACTGCGAGACATATGTTTTGCTATTGTCGTCATTAACAAATTAGTGCACCGCATCGGAGAAGCCTTATCACGCTTTTGAGTCGACTCAAAAGCATCCTTATCACGTAGAACTTAGTTGTAGTGTAATGTCATGACACCACGCGACGCGTACCTGGTATCACTGCTTCTGTCATCTCGCCGTTTCGTGCTCTTTCGCACTCGCTGTGTTACACGGTAACATGATATATGGTGACGTCAGACATATTCGCTGCTTCAGACATCTACGCTGTGACATTACATGGTGACACTGTATGGTGTTAGAGACGGTGCAAGACGGTGGCTTCACCAACGAATGACAAGGTACATCAATCATGACGGGTATCGAACGCCAATCACCAGCTCGACTGGTCATATGGAGCAATGACCGGAATGTTCCCCGGAGGCCACACAAATCTTGCACGCCCTCTCTCCAGATATCAACGGTTGGATTTCCCACAAGCATCAAACATCCCCCTCTCCCCTCTCTCTCGCGTCAAAGCTACCGTCCCCCCCCCCCCCCGCCCTCCTCTCTTTCCCCAACTTCGTTCCCCCCCTTTCGTTTCCCCCTTTCCCCCCCCTCCTTCCCCCCCCTCCCCCCCCTTTCCCCCACTAAACCGGGCTGCTCACACCCCCCACCTTTCCCTTTTCTCCTCAACCCCTCCCCCTCTCCCCACCCTATTTCGTCCTCCCAGGGGCCTCGGGGGAGGAGAAGCCATCTCTGGCGGCGTCCATCGCCACGGCGGCAGCCACCGCCATCTGCTTTTAAGGCGCCTCGAAAGTCCTCCCTCCCCCCCTTTTCCATCCCTCCCTTCCCCCGTCTCCCCCCCCCCCCCCCCCCCCCCCCCCCCCCTCCCCTCGCCCCCTGTTCCTCCTTCCCCCTTTCTCCCAGGGGCCTCGGCGGAGGAAAAGCCGTCATTGGCGGCGTCCATCGCCACGGCAGCTGCCACCGCCATCTGCGGCGCATGTGTCGCCGTCTCGCTCGCTACTGCCGCTCCCGCCCTCGCTGCTCCCTCGCCCAGCCAGGTGAGGCTCGTAACAGCCAGGTGAGGCTCGTAACAGCCATGTGAGGCTCGGAACGGCCAGGCGAGGCTCGGAACGGCCAGGCGAGGCTCGGAACGGCCAGGCGAGGCTCGGAACGGCCAGGTGAGGCTCGGAACGGTCAGGCGAGGCTCGGAACGGCCAGGTGAGGCTCGGAACGGCCAGGCGAGGCTCGGAACGGCCAGGCGAGGCTCGGAACGGCCAGGCGAGGCTCGGAATGGCCAGGCGAGGCTCGGAACGGCCAGGTGAGGCTCGGCAAAGCCAGGTGAGGCTCGCTCTTCCATTCCCTCCTCGTCTTTCCCATTTTCCCATCCCCTTGCCCATCCCCTCCCCACCCACCTCCGCACCTCCCCCCTCCCCATCCCCCCACTGCAGGTGCGCTTCCCCTTGGCGGATAAGGTGCTGGACCTCAGGCAGTGCGACTTCTTCTTCTCAGGGGACAAGGAGAACCCACATCCCTCTCTTTTCCTCAATCCTCCTTCCCATTCTCCCATCTCCTTCCCCATTCCCTCCCCAACCTCCCCCCGCTTCACCCCCCCACCCTCCTCCCCTCTTCCCCTTCCTAACCTTCCTCCGCACCTCCTACCCCAGGTGCGCCTGCCCCCCCTGTCCAACGACCCGGCGCGCTGTGAGCGCGCGTTTGTGGGCAACACGATTGGGCAGGCGAACGGCGTGTCGGATAAGGTGCTGGACCTGCGGCAGTGCGACTTCTCGGGCGACAAGGAGAACCTCAAGGGCAAGACGCTGTCGTCCGCTCTCATGTCGGGCGCCAACTTCGACAACACCGACCTCACTGAGACCGTCATGAGCAAGGCTTATGCTGTTGGGGCCAGCTTCAGGGGTGAGTGAGAGCATCCTGCCAGGGCGCATGCCACATGTTTGGCTAGCGGGAGGCTTTTGCTCCCCTCTCGCTGCAGGCTGAGGAAAGCTAGTCTCACCGAGACCGTCATGGCCAAGTCGTACGCCGTTGGGGCCAGCTCTCCCACCTCTGTCCACATTTGATCCCCACCTCATCCCCACCTCTGTTCACCTCATCATCCCCACCTCTGTTCACCTCATCATCCCCACCTCTGTCCACCTCATCATCCCCACCTCTGTCCACCTCATCATCCCCACCTCTGTCCACCTCATTCCCACCTCTGTCCACCTCAGTCCCCCGGGCACCGACTTCAGCAACTCGGTGTTGGATCAGATGCTCTTCAGCGAGGCTGGTCTTCAGATCTTGACAATGCACCATTTTGACTCCTTGCATGCCCTTACCGTTCCTTTCCCACCCTCCTCGTTCAGGTGCGGACTTCAGCAACTCGGTGTTGGATCGGGTGCTCTTCAATGAGGCGGATTTGACGGGAGCGTCGTTCCGCAACGCGGTGCTGTCGGGGTCCACCTTCAACGACGCCAACCTCACCGATACAATCTTTGAGGACGCGCTGATTGGCTACGTCGATGTGCAGAAGCTCTGCCGTAACCAGACGCTCGGGGAGTTCACACGCCTCGAGCTCGGCTGCAAGTAGTAAATCTGTTTGTCTGCCATAAAGGCACTTTTTGTGTGAATATGTATGCTTTATATTTTCCACTTGAAGCAATGGGCTGTCAGGCAAGTATGTTGTCATCAAAGCATAATCTCTTACAACGCAGCTGTTGTGATCAGGCCAAATTTAATCAGTGTAAATCACCCTGATACCCTGATTATCAGGGTGGTTTTTGGTAGTCACACTGATGGCCTAGGATATTTTTTTCAGGAGCTAGAATTTTCCTGATATGCCAGGGTTTACATTTAAAGCCCGAGGTCAGCATGGTAATTTCTCAAGTTATGTGGGTTTGAAACAGTTAGGCGAAAACCTGAAAATCGTGAATTTCGAAAATGTGTATGGGGCGAAACCGAATTCAGGAGGCGGGAAAAACACTCTTCGCCACGATACTATGCGAGAGCTGTCCCCGAGGACATGGGAGGGCCGAACGACCCAGTGTGCGACAGAGCACTGCTCCCGCCCCAGCACTGGTGGGGCACACTGCGCTTCTCTTGGGGTTGAAATGGTGGGGAACGCGAAACTCACGCGAGTAAGAGTGAGGCAGTACACTGAACAATATTTCCTGTGATTACTAATCGACTAAAATATTTGGATAAGTATGAGTGTAAGGAAATTCCCTTTTCCTAACTTCGCGTCCTTGCTCAGCGCGTACGTCACTGTAGCACCTCAGTCAGCACCGTTACCACTCGCGACCATCGCATCATTCATCATCCCGCCCTTTTCGCACATCGCATCCCGACCTCACGGCTCGGCTGGTAACCCGCGCTCCGGGCCTACGCTTCGACACTTTCCCAACCTCAGTCCCAGGCTCGACGCGCGACAACCACAGTCCATTACCGTTACCACTATTGTTTTCGCTATATAATCCTTCGCTCATGCCTTCGCTCATTGAACTTTTGCTTCGATAGTGCAATTCTCGTTCGTTCACTCAATTGCACTCGTAACACTTGGTATTCAGAGCCTACGATCTCATCTCGGACCGCATCCACACCTTCGCTTCCCACTATCTCAATTTTTGGGGGGGGTAGACGTCTCTCAGCGACACAGCACCGCCGCTCGTAGTGCTCTCTCGCAAGCACGCACGGCCACGACCGAGGCTCTCGCTGAGCTTGCCCGACACCCCCGCCATGGCCGACCTCAATCTCGCCACGTTGACGCAGGAGCAACTCGATCGTCTCGTGCGACAATTGGAGGATTCGGCGCTTGAAATCGCGACGCTCACGGCGGAACGTGACTCCGCCCGTCAACAGTCGACGGTGAATGTTCCGACGACATCCCACGCACCAACCAATGTTTCTGTACATTCGGAGGAGCCGATTGTCATCTCATCCGGCACACCAACGCAACACAACAGCACGGGACAGCGCTCAGGCGCAGCCAGTGACGGCGCAGCCCAACCGATGCCCGGCATGGGAGGGAACAGGAGCACGCTAAGCCCACGGGAGCCCCGAGAAGCCCGTCGGCACGTGGAGTTTGCGGCGACAAGTGGTGAAAACGCCATGATGGCCCCAATGCCACTCAAGCCGCAACGCCCGCCCTGCTTCGACCCAAGCCAACGCGGCGGCCCGACAGTTCAATCGTGGGTCTTCACGATGAACGTGTTTTTCGACGCCAACTACGTCGAGTCGGACGCCGCCAAGATTCGGTATGCGGTTTCACTACTCAGGGGCCCCGCCATGGACTGGTGGCGAGTCATCGTGACGTCGCCACGCGCCTACGAGCCACCGTCGCACGAGGAAGGGCCCTCGGGTCCAGCTGTCACCTGGAGTTCGTTCTGCGAAACAGCCCAATACAGCACGTGGGATGCGTGGTGCGCAGGGCTTCGGGCGTGTTTTGAGCCGATCGCGGCTTCGATTTCGGCGCGTCAGAAACTGCGCACTTGGCGCCAGCTCGGGTCGGTTCAAGACTACACCAGCGGTTTTCTCGCACTTTGCGAACAGGTTGGCTACATGCACGAGGCGGAACGGGTGGACCGTTACGACGGAGGGCTGAAGCCGGACATATCGCACGAGATAATGCTACGCGGGCTATCGAATTTCAACGAAATCCTCGCGCTCGCCGAGAAAATCGATATCCTACGCCGACCGAGACCGGGGTCCTATTTCGGACATCGTCCTCGGGGACCGATCGAGCACGCCACTGTACATGCCGTCGCAACGAATGCAGCTGCCACGCCATTTAGAGGGCGCTGCTTTGCTTGCAACCGGCCGGGCCATCGCAAGAGCGAATGTCCAGAGGAGCTGAGGCGTCGAGGAGCAGAGCAGGGGAGGGAGTCTCAGAGGCAGGGAAACGCCAGCAGTCAGTAGAAGTTGGGCCAACTACTGACGAGACTGCCTGCTCGCCCAACCACACCGACCCTCACCGAGTCACAGTACCGATTCACGCCATCGATCGGGCTCGGATGAATAAGGAGGGTACAGCGACGGATTGCCCGGTACTGATCTACGGGAAAATACAGGGAGCAGCAGTGAAAATCTTCATTGACGGAGGAGCAAGTCACAGTTTAGTTAATACTGCAACCGCACGGAAATTACAGTTAACACTTAACCGATGTTTACCTGAGATAGATGCACGCTTAGTCGACGGCACGCCATTGGCCATACGAGAAAAAGTGGAGCGAGTAAAAGTCCGCTGCGGGGGAAACTTCGGGTTTACACAGGAAATGCTCGCAACGACGTTGGATGGGCACGACATTTTACTGGGCCGTGATTGGCTGCGACGGTACAACCCACGGATCGACTGGACGACGGGGAGCTGCATAGTGCGAAGTAGTGGTAACTGGGTCGTCCTACCTCGCTGGCGGCCACCCAAATCTTCGACAGTCCAGGTCAACGCCATCACGATGAAACGGGCTGTCGCTGCTGGAGCTGACGTGTACGCAGTGGATATCGCAGTGGTAGAAAAAGACGAGCAGCAGAGTGTGTCAGAACATATCTATAGCTTATACTGCTGTGTAGGCTGTAGTGGGGTATCCCATAGGGGGTACAACCCAGTTAGGGTTTCATATTTGTACTGCTTTCATTCATAGTTCATTCATCCCTGCTTACTCATTTCACATGGTATAGAGCGGGTTCCCTGTGGAACTCTGCCTAGGGCCCACCGAAGCGCGCCCCGAGGCGCGCTCAACTTTTTTTTTTTCCGCTATCGAGCGACCCTCCGTGTCGCCTCCCTCCCACACGCGGCCCAGCCGCCCGCTAAGTCGCGGCCCCAGCCGCCCGCTACGATCGCGGCCCCAGCCGCCTGCTCGACACGGCCCCCAGCCGCCTACTCGACGCGGCCCTGCCGCCCGCTACGCCGCGGCTGCCGCCTACTACGACCGCGGCCCCGGCCGCCTGCTACGACCGCGGCCCCCCCAGCCGCCTGTTCGACCGCGGCCCCGCCGCCCGCTCCTGTCGCGGCCCCCAGCCGCCTACTCGACGCGGCCCCCAGCCGCCTGCTTGACGCGGCCCTGCCGCCCGCTACGCCGCGGCCGCCGCCTGCTAAGACCGCGGCCCCGGCCGCCTGCTACGACCGCGGCCCCAGCCGCCTGTTCGACCGCGGCCCCGCCGCCCGCTCCTGTCGCGGCCCCCAGCCGCCTGCTCGACGCAGCCCCCGGCCGCCTGCTCGACGCGGCCCTGCCGCCCGCTACACCGCGGCCGCCGCCCACTACGATCGCGGCCCCGGCCGCCTGCTACGACCGCGGCCCCAGCCGCCTGTTCGACCGCGGCCCCGCCGCCCGCTCCTGTCGCGGCCCCCAGCCGCCTGCTCGACGCAGCCCCCGGCCGCCTGCTCGACGCGGCCCTGCCGCCCGCTACACCGCGGCCGCCGCCCACTACGATCGCGGCCCCGGCCGCCTGCTACGACCGCGGCCCCAGCCGCCTGTTCGACCGCGGCCCCGCCGCCCGCTCCTGTTCTACCGGGAGCCGAGCCGCCCTGCAGCCGAGCCGCCCGGGAGCCGAGCCGCCCTGCACCCGAGCCGCCCTGTCGCCGAGCCGCCCAGGAGCCGAGCCGCCCTGCCCCCGAGCTGCCCTACCGCCGAGCCGCCCGGGAGCCGAGCCGCCCTGCGCCCGAGCCGCCCAGCACCCGAGCCGCCAGGTCGCTGAGCCGCCTTTCTGCATACCTACTCGACCTGCCCTGCCTGGTGAGCACAGTCCCACTGCCACTGCGAGCTCTTTCCCTACTGCTTGCACTGCGTCGCTGTCGTCGCCATGGCTACCCCTAGTGTCCTAGCTTTTGACGCTGAGGGTCGCGCCATTGATTTTGAGGTCTGGTTAGACGACCTGCAGCTGTTCTTACAGTGCGACAGGGCTGACGACCTTTCTCTCTTTGACCTCACCTCTGGCGCCTCTCCTGCTCCTGCTGCTGATGCTGATCCCGCTGTCCGCTCTAAGTGGGCCACCCGCGATGCTGCTGCACGTCTTGCTGTGCGTCGCCACCTCCCTACCTCTGAGCGTGCGCACTTTAGTCAGTACAAGAGTGCTCAGACCTTGTACGACGCTGTAGTTGCGCGCTACTCCTCCCCTGCCACTGCTGCACTGAGCCGTCTCATGCTTCCCTACCTCTTTCCTGACCTCTCTGCCTTTCCCACTGTCGCTGACCTCATTACGCACCTCCGCACTAGTGACACTCGCTACCGCGCCGCCCTTCCTGCTGAGTTCTGCGCTAAGAACCCCCCCCCCATGTACATCGCTCTCTACTACGTAGTCGCACGCCTCCCTGACTCCCTTCGCGTCGTCAGGGACCACTTTCTCGCAGTCTGTCCCACCACTCTCACCGTCGACCTCCTCGAGAAGGCCCTCCTTGCAGCGGAGAAGAGCATAGTCGCTGTAGGTGCTTCTCGTGGTGACCCTCGCACCCCCATCTTTGAGGGGTGCTCTCCTTCCCCCTTGCTGCCCTCTGTTGCCTCTGCTGCTGCTGCCGACCTGCTTGGTCTTGAGTCGGTGGGCGCGGCGTCTGCCCCTAGTGGGAGACGTCGCTCCAGCAAGGGCAAGGGGGGCAAGGGC